TCTCATTGAGTCAATCAGACTCGGAGAAGATTTGATAACGCTTGCACCCTACTCTGATAGAAAAAGAAGGTTGTCTTTTGAAAATCAGCTGAAGTCATACCGTCTCAGCTGCGATTAATTTGTTATTATGTGAGAGTGGTTTCTTTTTGAAAGAGTTCAGCCACACCGTTGCCTCCTCCGGATTCAAAAGATGCAATGAGTTGAGATCATTCATTTGAATTCTTTGGCCTGGACACCAATGGTGTGAATTGTCGGGAACCAGAAGAGTTAGGATGAAAAAGTTAACTGAAACCGGTGAAATCGATACTTTGACTCGAAATTAATAGTTATCACTGAGAAAAACATTTAAAAAATCTAAGCAGATCAATAAGACTAAAACTCTAGTTTAATCATATGTTTTATTATTGATAGGGATAATGCATAGCATGTATCGCATCGAGTTAATGAAAAAGATTGATTAATGTTAGTCAAAATATTTTAGTTGGCATTTTTTGTCTGTTTTTTTTTTTAGCTCAAACTGACTATAGACGACAACAAGTAACAAAAAATCAGATTCTGAAATTTCCGCTGAACTAGAGAGTTAGTTTGTAAAAAATTTTCGCTCTGTTTAAACTAAACATTTCAACTTGGGCGCAGTCTTTTGTCAATCTTATTTTTATTGTTTTTTTTGCAAATTATTACAAAAAAATGTTCAATGTTTTGCCTAGCGCAAATATTGTTGCTTGGGTAATTAGTATTTGATTTTGCATAGTCAAAGGGGGTCTAGGCCAACAGGCCGACGGGACTTCAAGCCGAAGGGACTTTAGGCCGAAATTTAAACTTTACAAGCACCTCAAAACACTATTTTTTCATCTGTAAAACGTTGCTTTTCAAAAATTTAGACAAGCTTAGTCCATCAAATGCGTTATTCACGACAATGCACCACTTGGGATTGGCACCCGTTAAAACATCAGCCGGTTTTTGAAATGCATAAATTATAAACATGAAAAACGCCTTCAACCGTGTTTTATTTTTCAACTTTCCTAAACATCATTTGGAGGATTGATTTTTATGAAAACGCCAAAAACTAGTGAAGAAAAATCCTGAAATTCCAAAATTCTTCAATAAAATTTTCAAATTAATCATATTTCACAAGTTCATAAGAAAATATTCGGCTTGAAGTCCCTAATTTTACGATTCGGCTGGAAGTCCCGTCGGCTTGATGTCCGGCACCCAGTCAAAGGAACCTGATTTTTTTAAACAAAAAACTTGAGGACGAAACCAATTTTTTTAGTATTTCTCACGGCAGTTAAAATATGGTTCTGACATTTGTTCTATTCTGCTGCCCCTTCTTTAATCAGTTACTTCAAAGCCAGAATTAATAGCAACGCGGTTCAGGGTTAATACTGTATTTTACCCAATCTTCGTGGTCTGTTGCCATGAAAACGTATGAAGTTCATTATAATTGGTTGAGAACTGTTTATAAATCAAACCTTGTGATATCAATCATGGATTGTATTGGATAATAAAACATTATTTATTTGACAACTACTGTGTTTTTTGAAGTTTTTCCATGAATACTCAAAAGTTGAAGGTTGCAATCATTGAAAACAATTTACGCACGTCTCACAAGTTTCAGCTCCCAGCCCAAAGAAGAGACGGAGTTGTTATTTTAGGCGGAAGAACACAATACACGATAGGAGGGGAGTGTGTAACGCGTAAGTTTGAGGGAGGTGGCAATTGTCTGGGGGGGGGGGGGGATGGTGCAAACTTGAGAGGTACAAATGGCAGTAAGTGTTGGGGCAAGATGCGGGTGAAGGTAAAAGAGGATAAGTGTAGGGTGGTGGGGTAAGTTTCGGGCGTTCGACATGGGTGTTAAAAGAGAAGAGGGATGTTAAGAATGTGACGGATACCGGTCGAGAAATTTAGTAAGGTAGTGTAGGTGTGATTAATACAGAAAAAGCTTCAAAATTTTAGAAATTTTGGAAAAGCAAGCCATTGAAAAATTGCAAAAAATACATTGAAAAATAGTCATGAACGCAGAAAATCAAAAAATTGACTTGTTTTCTGAAAACACTTGTGCTTTTGCTTTTTTTTGAAAAAAAAAATGCTCCCTGGACTACAAGATCATATTAAAATTGACACTTTCTTGACACAATTAACCCAACTTGAGAAAGCTTGTTTGAAAGATCGTGGCTCTTTTACAGTTCCCCCCTTTGATTTTTCTGAAATTCATTATATGAAAGTCTATTTAAAACGACTATTCTTGTTATGAGCTGCATCAAAACGTGTCAGCGTGAACAGGTGAACAATATTTTACAATATTTCATACATGAAAAAAGCCGTGTAATTAATTTTTGAACAGCTTTGTTCTGTAATTTTACGAGGGGGGCCAATTTTCATAGAACAATGTGAAAAAGTTTTTCATTTGTGAAATTTTGCAGGTGGGGAGGAGGAAAAATGGAGCAAAAACTAAAAGTCAATCACATTTTTGGCGATGAATACAATTTTGCTGTCCGATATTGGAGATTGCTTTTTCGACAAAAAAATTTAACTGAACTTGAAGAGAAATCAAAATCAAACCGCGCAAAGTCAAATTAAACAAAAAAATCACAAAAAAATTTATAAAACTTGTTTGTTATTTATTAGATTTCAGTCGATTGCGTGGTTCCAAAAAATAGATATAATTAAATTTTAGGGCAAATCTTTTGAACCCAAAAATTGAATTTAGATTACGATGCCAAACAAAGCAGTTTGTAAAGTTTAAGCAGATTCCGCAACAGGCCAAAATCAGATTGGTCGCGGATTCCGCAACGTTGCTCAAATTTTTTGATCTTTTTGGCTGTTTTGGACTCCACAAATAAATAGCTAAAACACTGTATTGCCCTTAATTGTTGCAAAAACAGACAAAATTGCGCAACCCGCTACATCATTTGCGGAATTCGGAATAAACTGTGAAATCCACAGACAAATATTGAACCATGTGCATAGTGAAAATGTGCTTGTTGCGGAATCCGCACCTGTAAGCGGAATCCGCAAACTGTCAACGCATTCCGTATTTTGTATGCGATTTCCATTTACATAGATAGTGGCGTTTAATTGTAAAATTTTTTACCCAGTGGGAACAGCCAGTTCAATCTCAAGTATTGCTTGAATTTCACACAGAACTGACCTTAATTCCTGCCGGTTTAAAATCTGCCAAATCTCAATTTCTGCCAACTCATATGTTCGATCTTCATTCCTACCGACTCAAACGCTCGATCTCAGTTCTTCTTAACTTGCCTTTGTTAGTTCATTCTTAACTAACCCCCAAACGTTCGATCTCAATTCCTGTCAAATTTAGCCTGCATTTCCACCTACATTTGCGTTTTCCACCTACATTTGCGCCATTCACTTTCCTTTTGCGGAACCTGCTTTCAATTTCGGAATCCAGGACAAATAGCAATTAGAGAGTGGAATTCACCTACATTTTGGAACATTAAAAGACTTGTGCGTGGATTCCACTGAGCTACAGACACAAAATTGTGCAACTATCCAGTGCAGAGTGTGGCCTCGAATTGTAATCGATTATAATTCATGAAACCTACTTGCCGGTATAAAAACTCTAGTTGCAGGACAATGAATTTGAGTATGAGGAAGCAAAATATCTAATTTTGAAGACACCTTCTCAACGCCAAAATTATCCAATAGCGAGATCTATTCTAAACTGTCCTTTTTTCCTTTTAATGTCATGGAGTACCATCAGGGCAACAGATAATCCATGAGGACAAAAACAATAGTTTCAGGTGCCACAACACTTCTCGGAATTTTTTTTAGACAGATAAGCTGTGTTCTGAAAGCCGCATACAGTGTGTTTTGATGATATCTCAAAAACTAAATCAAAATAAAAAATAATGTGAACAATTTTTAAAAAATTATACCTCCAATCTTTTTTGGATACTAAAAGTGATATGTTTTTTGAGGTGTCTGAATTGTCTGGAACAGCGTTAATTTTAACTTGCTAATGGGTTGATTAACATAATATTCCTGTGAAAGACTTTTAGTCACTTTCGTTGATATTCCGAAAAAAAAGATTGACTCAAAAGTAGATCTTGGCTTTAAATTGAAAAACAATAGGCTGAAACCTTGATTTCCTATCACAGAAGAAAACAATTTTGGAAAAATTCAATTTTCATAGCAACTGCTATTGGTTTTTTGATTGGTATATGGCAATGAAACAGCAAAGCTTCAACTCAAATAGTCTCAAATCTAAAAAGATGCCCACACCCTTCTCAGGGATTCGACTCCGGCCGACCCAAACAATTTTACTTTTTTGGCTAGTCGACTGTAAAAATTTTCTTAAAGTGCTTTTGGTACCAATATACACTCATTTTTAAGGGAAAGAGCGCGCCGAAAACGCAATTCTTTTGATCAAAACTGTCCTAAGAGTGCCTACAAACGCCTTTTTGGCCTGTTTTTTTTTCAAGAAATTGTCAAAAATTGGCCAGAACAGGGTCTTCTTAGTGCTTTGGGAGAGCTCGGAAAATAAGTTTAGTCTACCTAAAAAAAAAGTGAACTAATTTTTGATTTTTTTTTCGAAAAACCACCCCCCTCCCCTCGCCCGAGAAAATCTTAGATTCACCTCTGCTTCAAACTTTAAAATTGGCGCAAAAATGTTACTTCATATAATGCTTTTTGACTAATTTATGCCAATGATTTAGCCTTCGTTTTCGTTATCAAAAAACTGACACAATCTTTTAAATCATAAAATAACTGTCACGAAATAAGTTGGTCGACCTAGAAAAAGATGCATTAACCATCTTCCGGCCAGGGAACTATGTTCAACACCTTTCTGATTTTTGATGTCAGTTTTAAGAGCGGCCAAAATTCTTTATAGTTTCTCTGATCTACCAGAAACTGCAGCAATTATGTAGTAAAAAGTAATATTTTTGCTCTGTATTTCTCTCTCGAACAAAGCATTTTAGCACACTTAATGCCGTTTTGAATAGTTGAATGTCTGAGTGGTTTATTTTGGAGCTTTTTTTAAAGTCAAATCATGAATAATATACATCGATAAAACGATTAAAAAGGTCTTTACAGTACAATGGTACGATTTGAGGCTTATTTTAGTTATTCGTTTTATAAAAGAGACTTTAGTTTATTTTCGTAATTACATCAGAGCAGGTGCAAAAAAGCTTGAATTATTTCTAGAATAATTTGATCACGATGTCTCAAAAAATTTCGGCGGTTAAAATTCAGATATCTAATCCTAAATCAGTCGAAAGGGGATACTCGCATGGGATCAGTATGACTTCAACGGGTTCATCAGTTAAAAGGTCAAAGGTCAAACCAGCCGCAGTTCGAGTGAAGTCGCCAAAAACTAGTGCTGGCAAAGGTGAGTATTTTTGATTCGCCTTTTGTGGAAACTTTAGTTAGCACGTGGGGCGGGGTTTTTAAAAAATCTAAATAGGAAAAATCTAAATGGGTACACACTTTTTTGGGGTGCTATATGTTAAAATCATTATAACTCCTAAACCCAACCATTTGCTTAAGAAGCAAAGAAACCAAACCTCTTTGCTTCCTATTGCAAAAGAACCGTATAGCAAATTTTTTATTGTTACAATAATTTTCAGGCTTTTTTTCTAAATTCACGATTTTTTATGTAGGGTATGAAAAAAAATTATGTTCCGAACAGTCAATTTGTTCACGTCATTACGAGGCCAAACTGTGCACTGGATAGTAGCACAATTTTGGGTCTGTAATGGTTTGGCTTCGTAATGGCTGCAAAACTTCCGTAATGGTTGCAAGACCCGAAAAGGATCGGCAAATTCGAACGCCAAAATTTTTAAATAATAATTCTAGCTGTCTTAAATTTCTTTCAGTTAAGCACGCCCATTTTTTCAGAACAAATTTGCACGAAATTAACTTCAGAATAACTTTGTTTTCAAAACATCTTCTCTTCAGGCCGGAGAAAGAGCAAAGGAGGGAACAGTGGTGCAGCTAGAAGACCCAGTCTTCTGGAGCAGATTCGCAGAGACAGACTCGACAAAATCAGGGCTAGTTTATCAGGGCTTCCGGTGTATAGCAGCGCTGGGTACTCTTGGGCGATTGTCTTTTGGTGCAAAAGTGCACTTACAGAAACTTCTCTTAAGTACCCAGCGGTACTATATTTCGTATTGTTTTTTTTCCGAATGTGTTGACCAAAAAAACGCCTTATTGCGAAGCTCTTGAAGCATCTCTAGAAAAATTCCCTGTCATTACAAAAGAAAAGAAAAAAGCTCGGCCATTCTCTCCGTTCCAGTCGCTTAAACGTGCAACAGGCAACCCAAGAATTCAAGAAACAAAATTTTTTCCTAAAGAAATAATATTTTTTTATTCAAACTTTTGAACACAATTTTAATGAGAAATAAGTTGGTTCGAAAAAGCCAGCTAAACATATAGTTTTGGCTCTGTTTGTATCAAAGAAGTAAAATATTTTTTTTCTTCCATTAATGGGACACCAGAAAAAGGGCCTGCTGGCCTAATTATAATCTAGCTCCCATACGATTCAGATTTGTTTCTTTTTGTAAATTCATAGAAATATTTTTGTAACTAGATGTATTTTGGAAGCAATTTTATTATGATTTTTATTATGATTAATACTGCGAAAATTAAACTCGACTCGTTTTTAGGAACTAGTTTACGATCACGACGAAAAAGAAATCAGAGAGTTCTTAATCTATATTCTGGATAAATTACCCGGAGTGATGTTAGACCTTGTATCTTATCACCAACAACCATTGGTCGCGATTTCATCAAAATCCCCAGCAGCCGAAAGTGAACAAAGCCAACGGATGAGTGTCGCCATGAGCAGAATGTCAATAGCTGCACAGCCGATAGAAGAAAACGCGAAAGAAAAGCAAGAAAAAAGGAGTTTTGTCAAAATGTTGGCAACCATATTAAAAGAAAACCAGTAGCTAGCTTTCAATACAATTTAGATACTTATTTAAAATTCAGTTTAAAAATGAGTAGCGAAAAACTTTTTGCTGGTCTGTAACCCGCGCCTGAGATGGAAAAACCCAGTAAAAAAAATAAAAACAGAAGCCAGAAACTGGAGAAAAACCAGAAGCACAAAAAGAGAGACGGATTTTCAAAATGTCTTCGCAAACCTAATTGACTTTAATTTAAACTTCAGAGATTTCTGAAAACACTATATGCATCCTATTTTGGGCGTTTTTAGAGGGTTTTGATTTAAAAAAATGAGTTACTCCCCCCAAAGCTGGTACATAACGACGCCATTTTTGTTACTTTTGACAATTTTAATTATTACTGAATTATTGATATATTTTGGTAGAATTCCCCTCGAATTTAGTGAAGAAACATTTTATGGATAGATGGACAGAAATGTCTGTGGTAAAAAAAGTACATTTATACGGTCAAAAAATGCAACTTAGGTCCAAACCAAATTAGGACGAATCCACACTGAGTCTGACCGATGCTTCTGAAACGATTGAAGAGGTTTTCTTTGCCTCTGGTGCAAGAAATTCTAGTTATGAGGTTTATTCTATTTTCGCGCTTCAGTAGTTTTGTTCATTCAGAAACATCAGTCAGACAAAAAAACTTGACAACTTGATATAAAGTTGCTTGCGTTGTCTCTGGGTGCCAGTGAATCAATTAATTAAAGTTTTAATTAAAATCAAATTTCTGTCCTTGAAATTAAAAGTTTTGGTATATAGTGAAACACCATGCTCTCCAAAACCAGTAAAAATAAACTTTAATACAATAAATGACTCTTGTCAGTATTTCTATTCAGAATTTGTCGCCTTATTTTCCCTTATTTTACATTGTCGATTCATTCAAATGCTACCAAAAATAGAAACGTGTATTCTCTGTTTGTGTTGTTTCTGGTCATTCCTTTCCAAGAAGAAGGCGCAGCACTGCTTTGCTTTTTGTTCCGACTTTCGATACGAATATTTGCGCTCGGGGTGGGTTTTTTTTTTTCTTCAGACAAATTTCGACTTTTAACCAGCCATTTTTGACGAAATTTTTTATATCATTCGAAAGGTATTGTTGTCTTGAGCTCAAATTTGAAAAGATATTTCACCTGTGGTCGTTTTTCGTAAAGTTATGGGGGTTTAAAGATTGCCATTTTGGCCAATTTGGGACAATTAGCGCGGTATATTTCGCGCTATTAACGCGTAAGCAGAGAGTTAATCCGTCTTAGAAATTGTTCCAAATTGGTTTAACGAAGCTTATTTGACAAAATTGATTTGTTACAAGTAGCGAAATCTATCCTTTTGTACTTTATATGGCGTGTGGGGAGATGATTTTTATTTTAAAAAAAATTCAAATTAAAAAAAAAAAATTTCATTTTGTTTTATTACTTTTTAAATTTTTTTGGTTATCACTGCTCCATAAAACTTAATAGGCAGTCAGAACATTCAGGGCTTCGCCCTGATACGAGCAGTCTTGTTTAATATTAAAATTATTGTAACTCAAACAAATAAATATAATTTCGATAATTTTAGAGTTGATGAACTGCTAAAAAGACCGTTTCAATACCAGGGCAAAACATTGAATGCTCCACCTACCCCTTAATCCATATCGAATAGTTTTTGGGAAAAATTGAAAACTATAAAATTTGGACAAAATCAAAGATCAAGTACAAAATTTGTGTTGTACGAAAGTAATATGACCATTTAGCTATCCTCAATTCAATTCGGAACAATTTTCTTGTGCGGGATAATTTGCCACGCATAAATAATTCGCGGTACGATTTCACCAATATGAATAAAATCTTCAAAGGGCGGACAAATTAGTCCACAGCATGACCAAGTTGGCAATTTTCAAACTACCAGAACTTTGCAAAGAATGATCGGGGAAAAATATCCTTTTATATTTGATTTTAGTGAATCAATCTCCAATGCGGCATAAAAATTTGTTGTCAAAAACTATAATTACGATAGCCGAACATTGACTGAATAAAAAAACACCCCAAGCATAAATATTCAGTAGTTTATTTTTTTGAAAATCGGAACAACAACCATAATAATAAATTTTTATCAGGCTCACAAGTTTGTAGACTAGTATACGATATTGGCAACAACTATATCACTGCTTGAAGCATGAGAGAAGCCTGAGAGAACGTATACTAGTCACCAAAGGGTCCGTTTTCAAACGTTTCTGAGCGGAAAACTTTATAATATTTAATAATTCTAATAATTTTTTTATATTAGATTAAATTTTCTTAGAAGTTCTTAATGCTTCCTCCTCAACATGTAAAACAATTTTTTTTGATCTTTTAGTAAATTTTTGACAAACAGATAAAACTCTTCTAACATCCGGTGAAACTTTGTTTTGTCTGGTATCCAAATTTTGCACTGAATGGCTGATAAAATAAGTTTGCTTGTGGTCGTTCAGGGCATGTAGACAAGTCATAAAGTAGACACGTTATAAAGTAGACAACTACTATATTATCCAAACAGAATCGAGAACAGGAAGCAACCTTAGGAAATATACTTTTTTTAATTAATAATTTGCTAAGTTTGCTTGCTGTCTTCGCTTCTGATTGGTTAATATAGTGTTTATCTACTTTTTGTCACGTATGAAAAATAAAGGTTGTCTAATTATTTACTGCACTTCAGAGCAACTGATGGATGCCCACGAGAAACTCGACGTTCTATAAAAAATATTTCAAGCTTACAACTTTCTTATACCGAAAAACCACTATCTCACACTTTCCTAATTTTAAAAAATCCCTGTTTTATGAAAAAAAAATTACAGCCTAATTTTGTAAAAAGTTGTAAGAATCTTATTAGAAAAGTTCTGAAACTCTTATCACTTTCAAAGGTTTTCAGTTATAATAATAATTCTTAAGAAAAAGAGTGTTCGTATGTAGCAATTAGCGCCTGTGAGGTTGCAATTTGTGAAGATAACCCATAAATGAAAACTACAACAATGATATAGACAACTCTTTTAAGTGAAGCTAATTTGGTATGTCTATACTTAATGCATCGGCTCTTTTCAACTCCCCTCCCCCAATTTGAACTTCAACTTTGAAAAACTTACATTAACATGATGAAAAGTTGGGTGAACAAAATAACTATTGTGAACAAATTTGTTCTTCATACTTTCTACTGTAACATGACGCATTGAACCAAAATAACACAAAAAAGAACACCAAAAAAGGAAATTTGAAATTTGGGTGGAAAGTTGAAAAGATCCAATGCACCTTCCAAAATATCTGACCTGGGACTAGTGCCTGGGAAGTGTCGATTGTGAACATAGTCTCCTCTTTCACTCGGGGGTTTTCTAGCCCCCTCCCGCTGCACGTAATTTCCCCTATGTTCTTCACTGAGTTATCCCTGGTCACTCCAATCAGGGGCGAACGGGGAATGGGAAGTTCATCCAGGGTCAAGTTGATCTCGTAACGACCTAGTGTTCAAAAGGAGCGATTTGAATTTATGAGATGGGTGCTAGTCTCATGACAGAGAGCCCAAATGGCAGAAACTTTCAAACAATTAAAACGCTTGATCATTTTTTTTCAAAATAAACTTGAACGGTCCTGCAAGTGAACATAAGTTTGCAAGTTGTTAGCAAGATCTTACCAGATAAACATCTTATAAACATCGGATAAACACCAGATCTGGCGATCAATCGGGTTGCTTACCTCTGGACTTGGGCATGAAGTTGACAGTGTGGAGGCTGAGTAGTTTGTCCTTCTCCAGACTACATGGAACCAAATTCCCACTAGGTCCACTCACTTTAGCCCCAAAATCGCCTAAACACGCAACGAAACATTACATAACAACAAAGTAACAAAACACCAAAATTACGTAAACAACCATAATGAAACATCAATTTATAACAAAAAAAAATGCACAACTACCTGGGTTGACCTCCATAAAAGAAAAAGCAAGTCATATGATTTTATACAACGAGCAACGAGGAAATGGTAGATTTATCCGACAATTGTTTAGACGTGTGAAACACAAGTGTGAAATCGTATGCTAGTAGAAGAAGAAGAAATAACTTTTCGTTGTTACAAAAAGACATATTAACCAAAAATAATTTAAACACATTTTTATCAACTCGAAGAGGACAGCGAACGAATCCATTTGGATTGCAGGATGCTGCCCTAAGCTCAAATAAATTCGAATAAACTTAAAATTAAAAGGATGAGAGCGAAATTAACAAACACTAAATACAATTGCTGAAGAACAAAAAAATAAAAAAAAATAGTAGCTTTTTAGATCAACAAAGAACTTTGCTCAATAAACTGGACCATTTTAGTGGTACGAAAGCCAATTTCCTGACGATATACACTTAAATTAGCCGATTTAAACATGAATTTGACAAAATTGGTTTAAAATTGAAAAAAAAATTGGAATTTGTTTGTATAATCTTCAGAAACTCGCTAGTCGTAGCCCCCCTTGTTCGGTTCAAATGTGAAACTTGAACTTGTTCACTTAGCGGTTACTGCTTCTACTAGTATTTTTGTCAATCCGGTTAGGCTCAAACCTCCCTATGGAACCTGGAAAAACTGTCAATCTCTACAGAAATCCTTTTAGAGCGCCCAAAAAGGTAGCTACACAATGAAGCGCATCACGTGATTGCATGAATATTTTTAAAATCGCTATTAAATTTATTAAACCGAATTTCCACTATTATGCAGGTCTAATATACAGTTACTTTTCAGTGGTCCCTCAAAATATTAAGTAATCAGACAGCTTTAAGGTGAATATGTGAACAAGGAGTTACAGCTGAGGAGCTCAGGGACAGAATATTGTTTTGACGAGGCGACCAAAGCTTATCACTTTATAAAGAAAAAGAAATATGCAGTTTTGATGTGTTCTTAACTTGTCAAAAATAAGATCCGTCTGGTTTTTCAGACTAACCAGGGCCTGCATTGGATGTGTCGAAAGAGAGCGAGAACCTCTTGTTCAACTCCAGCTTCACCTGGCCATCACTGTCCATGAATGACTCATACAGCTGCGTACACTTGACCTGAAAGTACAAAAGCCAAAATCAATGGCTTTGTTTTTAAATAACTCGAACGACTTAATTAAATAATTCTTCGAGAATCACTTCCAAACCTTTCCAGATAAAGACATACTTTAGATAGAGATAATTATAAAGCAACTTTTTATGGGAGATTTTATCCTAGGAAGACTTTCTCATTTGTTGATTTTATCCCGAGGAACATCTGTAGGGTGACAATTCGTAACAGGCGACAATTCGTAACAGGCGACAATTCGTAACAGGCGACAATTCGTAACAGGCGACAGTTCGTAACAGGCGACAGTTCGTAATAAGGCATTGGCAAGTAGAATCCGCTTGCTTCGCTTGGCTTGCATCCTGCACGAGAGGAATACTGCGCGTAAATCAGTGTTCCCCGCTTAATATACTGTTACGAATAGCCACCTGTTACAAATTGTTGCCTCACGGGAACTTCGACCGCAGGCGTTTTATGGATCCTATGCTATTATGATTTTGGGCGCGTTCCACCTACCTTTCTGGGGTTGATAACCTTGACCTTGTATGGACTTCCGGTGACTGCTTCCCCGTCTGCGTGAACAGATACCTCATAGAACCCGACCTCAACCGGACGGTATGTTGCCGTGAAGGTGTTGTTGTCATTGCGTTGCACTGAACACTTAGCCAACGAGTTGGCTCCTGATAAAAAATATTGTTCGACTATTAAGAATGCTGAAGAGTTTTGTTTTCAGTTATGTTTTAGTTCTTTTTTAGTTTTTTTGTTTTTCACGAAAAATCAGGTAACCCAAATAATCATATGAATGGGTCAGGTGATAAATTTATTCGCTATTTTTATATAAAGCCCTTTCAGTCATGATTTAAACAATATTGAATTTTTTTAAAATCGATATCGAGAAAAACCGGCTCACAATTTTTTAGTTTTATTAAAACTTTGAACAAGTAAAGAAAGCGAGAAGGGTTATGATAGTTTAATTTTCATAATTCAAATTAAGCTGCGAAGATTTAGTTCTACTCCAGTAATTCTAGTTTTCCTAATTTTCCATGTTCTCACAGTACCTTTTTCACAATCATTGAGTTTTGAGTTAACTTGCTTTCAACGCATACAACTCAAACTTTGCCGATTATTCAAAAAAATAAACTGAAAAGTCTTTTTTGCACTTGACGACAAGAAAACTATCTTGCTTTCGACTGTAAGATCTACACATTCAATGCGCTTCGCCTATTCGACCCTGCTTATCCACAAATAGTTTATGAAGTATAAAATTTGGCGTTTACTTTAACCCTGTCATTTTTTGTTCTTTCTTCAATGAGATAAATGGAGTTTGACCTTTTGACTGACCTTCGACAGTGACCTGAAGATTGTCTAACTGTTTGTATGCCTTGGATGCGTCCACTGTGAACGAACTCTCCACATCCTCAACCCCCTTCTGCAGTCCCATTCCATAACACTTGATCAGGGCCCCACCTGAGCCGACGTTGAACTCAATCGGACGACCTAGTTAGTAATCATAACCTTGGTTAAAAGTAATTTTCAGCCATTTTACTCCAAACAAATAAATAGTTTCTACACGATATTTAGTTACATATAAATACATATAAGTTTACAAAAGCAAATCTGAATCGTATGAGAGAACATTAGCACGGCCATAACACGGCCAGTTTTCAGGTGTCTCATTAAGTGGAGAACAAAAGATATTTTACGTCTTAGATCCAATGGATCGACCTACAGTTAAAACAGGTAAGAACAATTATTAAATGTACACACTTCTTTTTATTCTCCTTTCAACCTTTTTCTCATTTTTTTTCGTTTTCTGGGCAGTGTTTTCTACCCATAACCTAGACTCCACCAGAAACAGATGTTTAATCTTCAGCAAAAAAACTCTCAAAGCCCATCCAAAAAAATCGTGGTTCCTAGAATGCAGTTTTCCAATAAATGATGATTAAAACTTTTTAATTAGAACGATTAAAACTGTTCAATGTTGCGATTAGAATTTAACTTGGTTCTCTTTAACTATCCCCCCTTTGGTACCTAGTAACGAATTGCCCCTATAGTAAACTAATTCAATGATTTAGTATAAGTGAATTTTGTACTTAGAAACGAATCTTCTTCACCCTTTGCAAAAGTGGGGGCAGTTAAAAGAGATCCCTTAACTTCATAACTCATAGAAGTTGACTAACCATTGACGAGTGCGTTGTGAAGATACACATAGGCCAGATGGGGTCCAGTGTTGGCTGTCTTAAACATGCCAATGTACTGGCCCATTTGGGGTCCACTTTTCAGAGACACTTTCTGCTGCATCACATTTTGAACTATGTTCACCTGCAAAAGACATTTTTCAAAGTAAGTTCTGGCGCATTGATAAAAGTTTGACTGAAATGAACCTTGACCGACTTTTGCACAAACATTTCCAACAAAAATCATAAACCGTATTTTTGGCACTGTTTTTTATGAAGCATCAAAAAGAAATTTTTTAATGCTCATAACGAAGTCAAAAATATATATAAAGCAAAAACTAATTCAAAAAATTATGAAGCAAAACCAAAAAAAAAATTATGAAGCAAAAAATAGTTTAAAAAATATATATAAATCAAAAATAATAAAAAATGACTTCTGGTTCTCCTGGTCCCGCCTCTCGGAGATCGAGAGCGATTGTGATTGTCTGTCCGACGTTGACGTCTTTGATGCCGGAAATGTGGACTTTGTTGGGGTTGAACACAGTGTGAAGAGAGGGGCTGTTCATCACGTTCTCTCCATTGAACAGAGCCGAAATGTTATAGTGACCTGAACATAAAAATAGTTTTCTGGCCAAATTTCAAACAGTTTTTAATACATCACAGGACTTAAGAGCATTGATAGAGAGGGCCACGTAAATCTGGATCAATCCTGCTCTGACTTCCGAAAAAAAATAAATAAAAAGAAGGCAGGCAGTAAAAGGCAGCAATGAAATGGCAAAAATAAATAAATGAAGTGGTAGACAGTAAAAAGCAGACAGAAATAACAAAAAAAAAACAAATTAAAAATCCAAAAATCGAAATTATGAGGTAAATTATTTCTATCTGCCTTTTCTATTTTCTGCTCATTTCGTTCAGTTGTTTTATTTGCTTGTCAGACAAAATTTTTCTGGTTTCGTCATCTTTGTCATTTATCAATTAATTGTTGATAGCTTATTGTTTTAGCAACGTCTACTTTTGATCAAAGTCGACGTATGTGAAACATTGCAATTTAAAGTTCACCGGCATAAGAATTCTGCAGCAAGTCCACAAAAGGTTTCAAAAATTCAATTTCTGAATTACTCATTTGATTTAAGCAAAAACAAAACAGTAAGTTTCCAGAAAAAAAACTCCAATCAATTGAAACCAATTGACATTGAATTGAATGAACATGAGGAAAATCAGATCAAAATGATTGCAATCGACATTTAAAAATAAAATTTATTGTGGCGGTTTTCGTTTTCGTTATATCTAAAAAATAAACCTTTAGCTGACGCTTGGATGAAAAATTGAATAGACAATTTTGTTAAGTCAAGCAAATTATGGTCCGATTTTTCTCCTCTGTGCAAAGATTTTTTTTGCTAAGCCAACTTTATATTATTACAACTCCAAAAAAGTCCACAGAATTGCAACAGTAAGGTTACCACGGAATTCAGATTTATTAGCATCAGCAAAAAAACTACTCTTGAGCTTATGCATGCATCAGAAATATACTTAATATACCTCAAAAAAAGAAAGGCCCCAAAAACCATTTGTTTCACCAAATCTTATTGGTTTCACGGATTAAAATTCACTCCAATGCTCAAAATTTGTTTGCAATCACTAAAAATTTTTTCTAAGAACTAAGTTTGTTTCATCAATTTCGTGGTAATGCAGTTTTTAAAACACATTCATGATCAACTGCATCAAATGAAGTGCTTCAGATCAATGAAACAAACAGTTCCATAAAGTTTTTTTTCAAAAAATATCTCATGAAAACTATGAACTCATTCACAGCATAAACACAGGATCTCTTAGGCCGTAACCCAAACTCTTTCATTCTATTTTTATTGTGTTTTCCAAAAATCTGAATCTATTAGGTTTTTAGTTATTCGGAAAAAATCTTGATGTAAAATCTCACTGCAAATTTTGGCGAGAGGTTGACGCATGACCGGCAGTTTTTTCTGAAACAGTAGTTCACAATATCATAATAAACAGAATTACTTTTTTCAAAAAGGCGTTTTTTAGTTGTAAATTGTTTCACTATTTGGGCAATAAAAAAATTATTTGCTCATAATTTTTTTTTGTATATTAAATTTCCAGTAAACAAAAAGTTCTACTAAACTCATTACAATTTTAGAAAAAAGGTAAATATTTCCATGCAGACTTTGACTTTTGTTACCTGTTCATTCTTACAGTTAAAATTGTCCATAATCTCAAAAATGTTCCTGGCCGATTTTGCTTTGCTATCAAAAAATTGCCCTTTTGCTTTCTCGATTAGCAATTTTCTTTTGTTTTGCATGCTTAATGAAGCCAACTTTAACCATTATTTTGATTTTTTATTGCGTTTTTTGTCTGCTTCTGATATTTTTATCGAAACATTTTTTTATATTGATTTCCCGTTGTCCAATTATGTCCGATGATTAGGAAGTGATGTTTTTGCTCGTGTTCCAGTCCTAAGACAAAAATGGGCTCTTTTTCCTTCCCCCCCCCCCCCCCCACCTCACGCCAGTTTCAACTTATTAGTGTAACGAGTGGTTTTACGAGGTTGAGTATGAAGACCAAATATGTTTGTCATGGCCTTATTGGTCTGTATGTAAATTTTCATAACAATCGGACAATGTGGTCAACAAATTTACATGTAAAAATTTGCTGGTGGGGTGAAAAGGAAAAAGAGCCTAAATATGTTTAGTCATGGTGCAATGTAGTGTTTAAGTTGCAGTAAAATCTCCAGACAAACAGTGATCTTACGGGGTTGTTTTGTTTCTCGGGTTTCTCATTTTTTTGAGTTCTGAATGTGAAGTCAGATTTTAGATTGTTGTTGTCAGATTTTAGAGTTGACGCTACTGAAAAGTCAATGTTCAAATCTATGCAGATTAATATCTTCCCTCTTAAACTATCGTTTTTTTTTTCAAAAAAATCTTGAACGTTATAACAAAAGTTGGTTGAAATGGTTAGATGATGGTTTGAAGACATAAGAGCAATTACTGGTGGCTCACTCTTGAAGTCTGTTTTTTGTACAATCAGAAGAAAGACAAAACTATTATCGAAGAACCTCTTCTCACTCCATGAAAAGAAATGAAATATAACTATGAAGATTGCAGCATCAAACGCGACTGTTTCTAAGCGTTCATTTCTCGGTGTCCTACAATTTAATGACATACAATTTAACACCGTACATTTTAAAACTTAGTCATTTCACTACTAAACAATTTAAATCGACAACAATATAACTCCTATTTTCCAGTTTAACACAGTACATTTTAACACCTAGTCACTTCACTATTAAAATTAATGCTTTATGAATTCCTTATCTTAACTCTTATCACACCAAAATTAATCCTGCAATTAACACGCGCACCATAATGAAAAACTTGGTTTATCTTAGTTATACATGCTAAAAGGAGGCTTCCCAATTTACTTAAGACTCTTATCTACAGGTTTGTAATTTATTTTCAATTAGACTTTTCGCTAAACCTTTATGATTACTAAAAAAGCTGCTTGTGCTAATTCAAAACAATTTGCCGTAAAAATTCTGACAAAAATTAAATTCTGACAGTCACTTTATACTTTACTCAAGTGATAAACAAACGCAAATACAATAAACACGTTATGATTGAGTCTTCTTTCGAGTTCACAGTTTCATCTAAAAACAAGCCAATTCTTATAGCGTCCGGCCATGAATTTTATTTCAAGCGAAAAAATAAGTTTACAGAAAACTGGATTTGCTCAAAATATCAAACACATAAATGTTGAGCAACTGCCATTACTGAAAATAACAAATTTATCGAGACGCGTGGAGAGCATAATCACGACATTTCAGCGGGAAAATCGGAGGCCCGAAATGTCATAAAGCATATAAAAGATCTCAGCGAGAGATTTACCCCGACTGTTGCAGTTGCCAGTGCGGTTTTGCCAATTACCAACGATTCATGACTCGTGCCTTAGCAATTTACTCCCAGGACAATCGCCCTTATTTTCGGGATGCTAGGTTGGGACTACGGGCTGGCAAACCCTTTAGCTTTGCGTTTATGTGCCAACAGTTCAAAAAAAGCTGACAAATCGATCAGGTCATAAGTTTAAGTTCGAGAATGATTCTAAAAATAATGATTTTAAAGCTTTTGGCATTGGTTAAACCTTTTTTAAATTTCTATACCGGCTGAAAATGTCTAGAAAATCAGGCCATATTAGTCAAAGGACGTCTAATTGTTTGCGGGCTTTTGAAGTTCATTGAACTATTGCTTGTTTTTGGTTCATTTTGGAATGATTCATTGAAAATATTGGCAAGGCAATTTCATTTTGGTTTGAAACGTTTCATTGAAATCATTTGCAAGGTCATTTCTATTCAAAACTTTAGCAAATTAAGTAGCGCAAATTTGTCTGTCTTTAAATGGCAAAAATTTCTCTCGTTTAATTCTTCGATGGTTACCGAAATCCCCTTTGAAGTAAGTTTTCTTTTCATTTTGGATTAAAACGGTGTTAAGTCATAGAAATTGTTTTAAAATGTAGCGATGTTATATTGCTAAGGCAACAAAAAGTAGGGAGTGAAATTGTAGGGTGTTAAGTTGTTTAGAGTTAAAAAGGGGGAACCCATTTCTCATATTTAATAAGTTTATCATGACAATTAGGCTAATTAATCACTCAATTAGTGGCAATTATTTGGTCACCTATTTGCATTTGCAGTTTAAAGACAAATTTCTCCAGCCCTTTTACCTAGTAGCTTGGGCGTGAAGGAGAATTTCTGCAGAGCAGAGTTTGTTGCATTGTTGTGCTGTTGGGTGCAGTTGAGTGGGTTGTTGTCTGGGCCCACACATCTGAACGAGATCATGTCCCCCACTGAACACCCACAGTCCACGACATACTCCACTCTTGTGTTCACAACTGTCGCGCTCTCACTCTGCTGCAGAATTATCTGGAAAAAAAAGTTTTTAAAAAAAAAAAATATTATGCCATCTGCGATTTACAGCCAAACCTTTGTGTGGAGCTTAGCCTAACACTGATACTTTTTGCAATTAGACTGGGTGGGGGGAGGGGGTTATAATAGAAACTGCCACATACGGGTGAATTAGTTTATAGCTCCAGTAGTTAATAGCTTTTTTCAATCATGTGTCGAAATAAAGCAATTTTTAGGCGCATTTAAAAATTTCGAAGATTTACCTGATCTTTGGTAGGCAAAACAAACATCTCAAACGGCGTCCCTCGAACTGGTTTGTTCCTTATTGAGCAGATCACAAAATGGTCTCCTGTTTCATTTGGGGAGACAGAAACAACTGCTTTGTTTGCCCCTTGCCTCGTTATGTTGTCCACTGGAGATTGTTGTTTTGTTCCGCTCGGAGAATCGACTGAGATCGCGATGTCTTTCAAATCAGTACGGGCAGGTAAAGACAGATTGAATTTTACCTGAATCATTTCAGTTTAGAAAATTTCAATTATTAAGCCAACAGTAAGTTATTTTCAATTTAAAAAAAAAACAAGACTACTCGTACCAGGGCGAAGCCCTGAATGTTCCGACTGCCTTTTAAGGGTTATGGAGCAGTAATAACATTAAAAAATTTAATGAAATAAAATAAAATGAATTTTTTTCTTCTAAAATTTGAAATTTTTTAAGAAAATCATCACCCCACACGCCATATAAAGTACAAAAGAATAGATTTCTTTCCCTGTAACAAATCAATTACGGCAAATAAGCGTCGTTCAACCAATTTGGAACAACTTCTAGGACGGATTAAATCTCCGCTTACGCAATAGCTCGAATTATATCGCGCGTTAATTGTCCCAAATTGGTCAAAATGGCCAAAATGGCAACCTTTAAACCCTCATAATTTTACGAAAAATGATCACAGGTGAAATATATTTTTTTCAAATTTAAGCTCAGGACAACAATACCTTTTGAATGATATAAAAAAATCCGTAAAAAATGGCTAGTTAAAAAGTCGAAACTTTCTGAAGAAAAAAAAACCCACCCCGAGCACAAATATTCCGTTACTTTCATATCGAAAGTCGGAACAATAATAAAGAAAAAATGAAATTGAGTTTTGAAAAAATTCAAAGACTTGTTTTATGTATTTTCAGTAAAATTTACAGTGATGTCGCAGAATTTTGCTTACAAAAGCTGACAAAAATTTGTATGTCTCTTTTTTAGACAGGTCAATTGAACTTTTTCAGAACTTTGCCCAAATCCTACAACAATAAAACATAAGCAGCGTTTTTGAAATTTTTCAGAAGGTTAGATTGCTGTTCTTTTGATTCTCTTCCCAAATTTATACTTGTTTAAAGAGGTGCCAAAGAAATACGATTGGTCTATATCTTCCAAAAAAGCTTGCTGGCCTCGCTTAAAAAAATGACAAAATTTGACAAAAAAGATGACTTATCTCACTTTTTGTTTACTGAAACATTGTAAATTAATCTATGATCTGAGGCTTTTAGGGGGGAAATATCAACCAGAATCGAGCGGTACTGTCGGGTTATCACCCAACTAACCCTTATTCCCACGCTATTCATTATTTATTTTAACTATGAAAACTACCATAATTATTTATTATCACAAATTGGTTAGTTTAGTTCAATTCAATCGAAGCGAAGTTATCGAGAAAAAGTCAAAAACTAATTAGCTGGTATATGAGTACGCTAAGATCCGAACTTAGACGGGCTACATTCGGAAACAGAGAAAAAACTAGTTTAATGAGGAACTTTATGTTTTTTGGTTCTGTTGTTAGTTATAACTACATATTTATGATTAGTTAGTGTACATTCTGACCATGTCTCCGATGAACACGGCTGGACAGTTTCCCTTGGGGGATCTGTAGCCCCCCGTAGTCCTCGAGTCCAGTTCCAGAGTGGCCGAATTCAACTGAGAAGTGTAGCTGTTGCTACTCTTGTCCTGAAAAATAAAAAAAATCAAATTTTCACACCAGTATTTATACCGATATCAATATACGCTTCAGATAAAAGTTAACGTGATTAAACCAAAACCAAAGTTAGACAAATAACTTTAGACAAGAAAGTAAAAATAATTAGAATTGGTAAAAATTGTTTTTCATCATTTTTTAATAATGTGGGCATTTTTTAGAATCAGCTCACCTTTTATTTACCGAAACATTGTCAATTAATCTATGATTTGAGTTTAAGAAATTCTAACATCAATCTACAAACTTTTGGTTTTATAGATTTTGTTTCGGCCACCATATCAGATGAGTTTTTTCATCAGATACAGACTAATATCTTCTCGTTCTTTGATCTAATTTTCTTCTGCTAAGATAATCTAAGAAGAAAAATACTGGGAACAAAAATTCCGAGAGAGTGGTAAAAGTTTCGAATACTTATCAACGCAGCTTAATTCACTAGTGAAAACGAGGTCGATAAAAGACAAGTGTTCAATGACATCAGTTTGGATATAATTCGCAAAACTAGACTCGAATCTACTTAACAATCTCCCCCTCCCACCCCACCCCCCTTTGGTACCTACTAAAGAATCTCCACCCATATAAATAAGTACAATAAATTAGCAATAGAGCTTCTATTGAGAATTCGAATTTTGCTGCATTCTGATTGGTCGAAAATTCGACTAACTTCGTCTACTTAACAATCTCCTCCCACCCTTTCTGAAAAAAGGGGAGGTCGTTAAGTTGAGGAAAATTGGCAAAAAACTTGCAAAAGAATATATTTTTATAGGATGAATACATTGATATTTCAAGCTTTCCCGGAGATTTTAAAAACGTTTTGATTCGCTAATTTTTTTTTGCTCGGCGACAAATTTTTAAAACTTGACAAAATTGACCTCTTAGACCAGTTTTTGGAAGGCTTAGACCAAAAATTTGAAGGGTCAGGGGTCGAAGTCATGAAGGGTGTGGATCAGGGGCGGATTTAGGGAATTTGATACTTTTTCAGAAATCCATTTTTGGCCGACCGACCCTAAATTTTTCTAAAGGCGCCAATATATACTAACTTTGAGGGGGAGCGCGCGCCAAAAAAACGCGATTTTTTTGTCAAAATTTTTCAAAAATTGCCCGAAAACGGCTTTTCTGACTGTTTTTTCAAAAATTTGCCTGCGGCGCAGAAAATTTTGCCAAAGTAGAGGCAAAACAGTGCTTTGGGAGAGCTCGAAAAATCAATTTGGTCGACCTAAAAAAAAAAAGGTCGTCAAAATTTTGGACAATTTTTTGAAAATCCGCCCCCCCCCTCGAGAAAATCCTAGATCCGCCCCTGGTGTGGATAGTAGTGTTCGCTCTCTTACATCCGGTCCTTTGTAATTACTTATATACTACTTCGCTATCGACTTACCATTTCACGTTCGTTGTCAGCAAACTGTTGCGGAACACCCGGTGACACAAGCGAACCCGGCGAATTAATTGCCGACACAAACTTCTTAGTGCTGTAACTATTTGCATTACTTACTTGTCTCCCGGTATTTCTATGACTCATAATCGGAGACTTATTACCCGAATACAAGTTATTGTCTTGAGTGTTCATAGAAGATACTTCGTTATCGGGTTCGTCAAACGAAGACGAAAATTCTTTCGGTGGAGGCGAAGTGAAAGCGTGAGAGGGAGTCGGTTTGTCGACTTGTTGGTAGTTGTTGTTGTTGTTTGAAGTGTTACCGGAATGTATCATACCACCACCACTGTTCGACGGGGAAAACTGGAAAGAAGTTGAAAACACATACAGAACATATCCCGTCACCAGAAAGAGATTTAACATTCAAGTAAATATTCTGATTTTGTAATAAGAAGAAAGTCTTGAGGAAAATAGAATCCCAAAACCCATTTTATCTGCAAATCAGCTATTGATAATAACTTGCTGATTTATATGACAAAAAATCCTATTAATTTTTGAAAATACCAATAATTTGCAAATTTATAGGACATAAAGTCTTAAATGAATCATTTTAGCCCCTTTTATCTATTTAATTTTCTGGTCCTAGAACCAAACTTACAGATGGAAAATTTTGGATCTACGTGAGATTCGAACAACCAACCTCTTGATCGGAAGACGATAAACTGTATATGGAATCACATTTTCGAAATATTCTCAAACATTTATTAAAAACTAAGCGCTTACTGAGTAGTTGTTTGAAAACTGTCTGGGCGGGGGTGCGCTTTGCAGTGCTGAGTTCTGATTGGCTGCCGCCTGTCGCACTTTAACCAATGGCTCCTCTTCTACTCCCCCATTGGCCAGTTCATTCTGGTGAGTTAAATGAGGCCGGCTCTGCTGCTGAGGAAGGGGGTTCGAATCCCTGTCTCGTCCCCCAGATTTTGTTTGAGGAGGTTTAACGTGCTGGAATTTAGCGACTTGGTTCATAATTGCGACTGTGCTTGGCTCGTCGGCGCTCAGTTCTTGTGCTATTAGAACACTCTCGATTCCGTTTTTGGAGCAAAGAGCAATCGCTAAATTTAAAAAATTGTGACAAGTTTACATAGAAGCTCTCTGATTATTCAAGCTCAACAAATTGCATAGAACATTTGAAACAAGTTATATATATATTTTTAAAAAGTTATATTTTTGAGTTTTTATTACGCGTTTACCAAAAAAGAGCGTTTTTTTCGGCGCGTTCCTCTCAAAATTAAAATTTCAGCTACCTCTAATTAATGAAGTTTTACTTACTTAGAGTTTTAGAAATTGATTAGAGGAATTAATATAAATATTTCGTCAGATTTCAAACAGTTTGTGAGATAAACTACTATATATCTACCTAATAAAAAACTGGGAAAATGTTGACTCACCTTTTTGACTGTTGTTCACTTTATCCCTGGCGTCCATCGACTGGTAGTCTGGACAACTTCCAGGAAACACTGCATTGTTCAGAGCACAGAGTGTAATCCCGGTTCGCCAGTCACTCCCGAAGTTCTTCACCCTCTGGTCTGGAATCTTAGTCTGGACCCACTTGAGAAGGGAGGCACTGACTGGACCGTCATCAGCCAGGAAGTAGGAGATATACGTCATTCCTGGAAATAGAACATTTCTCAGAATTGAGACTCTGCAGAGTAAGTCAACGTTCCGAGATACAAGAAGTTAAATTAAAAACAAAAGTTCAAAATCGAGAATCAATACGAATCTGAAGGTTTTCTAGAACATTCTCATAAGGATTTATGCTTTTGAATATGAGGTCCTCAAAATTTTAAGGATTATTGAGATCTTGCAGGATGCCTTAAAAACTTCTAGTGTTTTACTGGGCCTTCAGAATAGTTTCGAATTCTAATGGCCTTTAGGGTAATCTTGAGGTCTATCTGGACCTTTAGGGTAATCTGGAGATTTAACTGGACCTATAAAAACTGAAGCCTGAAGAGGCTCTTCTCTTGATATCATATTTACCACTCTGGTCGTCCAGTTCTGATGATGCCATGTCCTCTGGAGTGATCAGTTGGGGCACTTTTAGTCTGGACTGTGCCTGCTGGATGGCTTGTCTGCAATTACTCAACTTGTCGCTATCATTCATTTCTCGCCAGTCGGGAAACATCGAAGGATCACAGTAGTTGCACAAAGCACTGTTTAAACAAAAAACCAAAATTTCAAAAACGGTTAATTTAAAATAAACGACAATTTGTTGATTAAAGAAATTAAAAGAGAATTTTCAAACAGTTGAATGTAAACCCAGTAGCGTGCCGAGGGGGGGGGGAGCGGGAAGCAACCGCTTCTCCCCTCCCCCCCCCCCCTCCTCAATTCTGGTCGTAAAATTTTTCCAAAGGGTTTCCCTTTGGTACAACCTTACGACATCCATTTTCGGCTGACTAACCTCAAAATTTTTCTAAAGGCGCCAAAATAATTAATTTTGAGGGGGGAGCGCGCGCCGAAAAAACGCAATTTTTTTGGTAAAAACTTTACAAAAAGTGCCTTAAAAAAGTGTTTTTTGAAAACGTTGCCTGCGGCGCAAAATTTTTTTTGACAAAATAGGGTCCTTATAATATTTTTGGAGAGCTCGGAAAACCAAATTGATCGACCTAAAAAAAGGTCCGTAAAATTTTCAAAATTTTCGAAAAACTGCCCCCCCCCCCCCCTGGAAAAATTTCTGCACACGCCACTGTGTAAACCAAATAGAAAACATTTGACATAAAAGCAGGAAAAAAAACCAACGTGGCTCTCGAAGAATTGCGCTGCCATTATTCATTAATTTATTAATGCGGTCGCTTGAAGTTCAATTTCACTTAGGTTGAGTTCGTATTGAGCATGCAAGGTTGTTTTCTGTCTTATCCAAAACTGTGTATGAAATAAATATCTATGAATAGGATGATTTAATTTTTTGTCATTATTTGTTTGTCCGATTGTTGTCATTATAGTGTTTGATCGATTAAAAAAATAACAAAATACACCCAAATTCAAAGTCCCCTTCTGTTTTCAGACTATATGACGCAAAACGGAAGCTTTTGAAGCAATTTTTGGTGTCGTTGTAATTGCAATATATTGTTTAAATCTATCAAATCTTTATTTGAACATGTGACCTGTTTTTCTGTTCACCTGAGAGCTACTCCCGAGTTCCAGTCGGACGAGAAGTTCTTCACACCCCCCAAATCGGGCAAAAGGGTGTTGACCAAGTCCAGCAGATTTCTCTTCGTCTTGCCCTGGGGACCTCGACCAGAGCTCCCGATCTGGAACTTGAGAATCAATTTCCACACCACTCCCAGAATCAACTTCAGATTCTGGTCCACAATGTCAGAAGCGCCTGGAACGAAACGCCGTTCAATATGAAAAAGATCCCTTTCAGAATTAATACTCAAGCCCCTTTTACGCAATAGGGGAGGGAATTGGTCACCAATCTATGCCTTTTGACCATTCAGTTTGTCGAAATAATTGGGGTCCAAATACGATGCCATGTAGTCGAGGGTGAAGGGTTTGTTAAATTGATTTTCCTAGAGTGAAGGAGTGAAGCAGAAAGCTATGTTGTTTGTTGTTTTTTGACTATTTTAATTTTATCTGAATTAAATGAATAAAGAATTGATTTTTTTTCTATTTTCGAATCAACTATTTTCTTTTCATCTAAAAAAGCTGACAAAAGTTTGCATTTTTTGCTTAAACGGGTATCGAGGAGATCAAATAAATCTTCCCCTTAACAATCTGCCCCCCCCCCTCCCCCATAGTATGTACTCAAGAATCTCTACGCCTCTAAATAGAACAGTAAATTAGCACTAGAGCTTTTTATTGAGAGTTCTTATTTTGCTGCGTTATGATTGGTCAAAAGTTCGACTAACTGAAACTACTAACAAGCCCCCCTTCATGATAAAGGGTGGAAATTGTTTAGTAGATCCGATCAAATAAAACACTTGCCTATATTGGTGAGGTCTAGCTTCTCGAACTTCATGATGTTGAGAGCGAACTCGACTGTTTCCATCTGGTGTACCCTCAGTTGTGTCTTGTTGGGCTTCCGGTTACTGAAGGGACCCAACACCTTCTTCCACTGACATCCGTCTTCAGAGGTCAAAGCCTACAAGAAACAAGCAGCTCCTTGCTTACCCTCTCTCTCTCTCTCTTTCTCTCTCTCTCTCTCTCTCTCTCTCTCTCTCTTTCTCTCTCTCTCTCTCTCTCTCTCTCTCTCTTTCTCTCAAACCAGGTCACCGAGGTTGACCTTTATAGACCAAAAGGCTAATCATACAATTCCATAAACTGCGTCTACGAAAAAATACGAAACATACAAATTTCGGATCTCTCTAACTATATTCCCCTTTTGCAAAAAAGGGATATTCGTTACCAGGTATAAAATTCTCATAGGCTTAACCAATGATTTATTCAATTATTGTGGGGATATTCGTTGCTAGGTGCCCGAGGGAAAAAGGGGTATTATTAAAGAGATCTTATATTTCATACATTGTACTAAACTGGCGTCATTGAGTTTTCTAAGAACTTTTTTGTTTTGGCATAAAAGTCGGTATATCGTCATGAATAAAAAAGAAAACTGTTTTCCAGAAAAATGCCAATCATACAATTTTCATTAACTAGTTTCATAATTGCCTGAAATTCTTATTATTTTTTTTCAAAATTTAGTTTTTGCTTGCAAAATTTAGTTTTTTTTATGTGCATAACGTAGTCTTGAAAAGACAAAAATATATATTGAAAGATTTGTGTGCGACAACTCCAAAGCAAGTTATGCCGCTTCCCATGCATTTTAATTGCAAGACCGGCCAAACTTTGATGAATTTAGATGCCTTTGATGACTCTAGTTATGAGTAAACGAAGGTCTTTGTCACTTGTGCTCGGTCACAAACACAACCCAAAAATTTTAGAAAAAAAATCAAACTTTTAAAAAAATCAACTTTTTTGGTTTTTGGAAAAATTTTAGTTGTTTCCAAATATAAAAAATCACTGATCATTAACCTCACATGCAAATTTTTATACTCATAAAATTTCATGAAAAGTGTATGAATTCGATTTTTCCATTTATGAAAACTGTTTAGCATTTTCGGTAGGGCGACAATTCGTATCAGGCGACAATTCGTAATAAGGCATTGGCAAGTAGAATAAGCTTGCTCCGCTTCGCTCCGGTGCGCTTACATCCGGAACGAGAGGAATACTGTGCGTGAATCAGTGTTCCCCGCTTAATCTAATGTTACGAATTGTCGCCTAACGAACGTATTTGGTCAACCAGGGCAATTTCATGGTATTTTTTTCATTTAAACAACTCAAATTTCTAATTCTCGAAACATGAGAAGCCAGAATTCAAATAAGAACAGCAACTGATTTACTGAAATTGAGTAAAGTGTTTAAACGTAGTTAGACTCCCGCGTTTATTTTTTAATGCTGGATGTTTACAATATTTCGCAACGTTTAAGTACATATACCCCATGGTGAAAGTTTAATCAATACTTTTAAAATGCATAGATTAACTTAAAACGTTTTGGAAATAAAAAAAAATCCGTTAAATGATTACAAAACCGGGTCGAGGTCCTTACTTTTTGTTTCAACCGTCTCGAACAAAATTCGGAGTGATTCGACTGTCCTGACAGAATTCGGGTATGTTTTTACTATATTCAAACACAAAAAAAGTGCTCTGCTGTGCTCGACTCATGCAAGATTTGTTTCGACCATCTCGACCGTGTTCGACCCAAAGCATACCTGTTTGCATACACCTTTTAGATCAATTTTCACTTTTTCCGACTTTCTCGGCCAGTTTCGTTGTTTTGACCAACTCGTCCAATTCGTCGACTTTTCTCGATATTGATTTTATCTCGGTTGATTTCTCTCTCTTATTAAAATTTTTTTTTTCGAATTGACAACTCAAAATTCCACCAGAGTTAAGTGGTTTTTCACCGTCTAGACCAAATTCGTATTATTTTTCTGCTTTCTCGATATTGATTTTGCCTTTTTTAATTTTTTATTTTCAAAATTCAGTCAAATACTCTTTTGTGGTCTCAAAAAACCACAATCCGAAATCTCCAAGAAAGCGATGACTCAATCGCCTCGTATAGCCTTTATCTTTAGATATTTCTTAGTTTTCAATTCGTAAATTTCTCATGAGTTCATTTTCTCTTCCGTTGTGTTTACTTTTCGACGGATTAGAATTGTGTATTTTTGTTCCGATTTTCGTAACGAAAGTAACGGAATATTTGTGCTCAGGATGGGTTTTTTTCTTCAGACAAATTTCGACTTTTTAACTAGCCATTTTTGACGGATTTTTTAAAATATCACTCAAAAGGTATTTTTGTCCTGAGCTTAAACTTGAAAAGATACTTTACCTGTGATCATGTTTTGTAAATTAATGGGGGTTTAAAGATTGCAATTTTGGCCAATTTGGGACAAATAACACGTGACGTAAGCGGAGATTTAATTCGTCTTGGAAATCGTTCCAAATTGGTTGAGGAAGCTTATTTGCCATAATTAATATATTACTACGAGCAAAATTTATGACTTTGTACTGTATATGGCGTGTGGGGGATGATTTTCACTAAATAAATCTCAAATTAGAAAAAAATGTTCACTTTTTTTCATGTTATTACTGCTCCATAGACCTTAAAAGGCAGTCGCAACATTCAGGGCTCCGCCCTGATACGAGCAGTCTTGTTTGTCGTTTACTGGCGAGTACGAATACGAGGTTGCCCTGTTACAGACCACATTATTTAAACACTTACTTCTGATTGGTTAACTAATTCATATTTCTGTAATTCGGTCCTTCTGCCATAATCGATTACCCCAGGGCGTAGCAATTAACATGCAAAGATAAAAGCATGCACTCATTGCTTTTATTATTTTTTTCATTCAGTCGGACAATAATTTAACCAAAAGTTTTAATTATTTTCAAAAACTTATTAGTTGAGGATACTTAACTTTATTTTAGCTTAATTAAACAACCGGCAAACTTTTAAAATTAAAGAATCAGCACTTAATTTGATTTTTAAAAACTTCGGTTAACAAAACTTGAAACGGCAAACGAGATTTTGTTTCGGTCTTTTTTAGGGAAGAGGATTTTAACTTGATCCGAAAATTTTTCTGGCCCACACACTCACCTCCATGAGGATGACTAATTTGTATCCGTCTGAGAAGTCGGTGGCCAAATCACTGACTTTGTTCCCACTGCTCTTCAGCTGTTCATTGACCCAGTTGGTGAATGTCTTCTTCTGGATTGAGATCCACCTGTCGTCGCCAGAGGGCTGGTTGAACCCTCGCGCCTCAATCGATCTTGTCTCATTCATAATATCCTTAAGAGTCCTTAAACAAAAATATCCTTAAATATTTGTTCCTGAATTTTCGGCCAATCATAATTGAGCAATTTACATGTAACGCTTAAAAAGTTTAATGTGAATTGAATGCTGAGGTGGAAGATCTTAACTTGGTATATCTGGAGTAAGGTATTTTGGTTCGAAGATTTACTCTCGTGTCTCACCCAATATCCTTAAAAAATGTACTTATCTGGTTTTTTTATTTAATCCGCTCAAAATAATTCAACAGCGAATCAGTCACTGATTGAAAGCGTTGTTCAAAATGAGTCTCAATAATGTTCTTAACTTCAACGAATCAGATTTGAGTAGTTTTCATTGTCATAATTTGATCATTTGGACGAAGTAAGCAAAAGTAAGTGGGATTCTCATGCCAGAAGGACCGAATTCCCGAAAAGTTGGTCAGCCAATCAAAATTCAGTACTCAAATACTCGAAAGAGTTAAGCAATAAAAACATAATCGGTCTTGGGTAGTTTGAATGGCATTGGTTGGTAGAGAGTTTTGAAGTTTTTCAGTTTTCGTAAAAACAGCTACCGTAAAAAGACCTGGGTCTTTTGTAATAAATGGTCTAAGAAAATTTTGCCTCAAGGGGCCAAAAAATTTTGAAAAAATCAAAACCGACGACCATATTTTAAATCAATTTAAAGCAAGGCTGCTCGTAACAATGCAAAATCTAGGATGTTCCGACTGCCCATTAACTGGTCTCGAATATTTTCTGGTTACTGAAATATTGACAAACTATGAAAATTATTAAAATCAAGTTTCACTATTAAAACTAGGGACTTGTATGAAATTAAAATAACCACTAAGCTCAATTTAATTCATAATGGAACAATTCTGTAGCGCTGGATAATTCGCCATGCGTAAATACTACGCGTTACACTTTCAGCATAAATTGACAGCAGTTTATTTAGACTCGTTTAACTGCTAACATAAAAACAGGATAGTTTAGTGGAGAGCACGACCGTTCTGAGAACACAAAGCTTACGAGATTAGCTCACCGAATACATCATTCGTTTGAAAATAGACAAAAAATCAAAAAAAAAATGCTGACACATTTGTTCACTTGATAATGCTAGTCATTTAATTTCATTCAATGAAAATTGCCACTTTTTTTTCAAAAACAAAATTGAAAACAGGAAAAACATTTATAGTTCTTCTTTTTAGTCGCAAAATCCTTCCTAGGTACAAACAATGAATTATCGAAAAAAAATTGCATACAAAGTTGGAATTTCTGTCTATAAAGTAGTCCAGGCACAGTGTTTTTGCACAAAAATAAGAAAAAACAGAAATTTGTTATGTATGAAGCCAAATTTTTGTTGTTTAAGTTAGTAAGATGAATATAAAGCCTGACAAAAAACACAGGTAGCAAAACGTTTAAAAAAGAAGATTTTAAGCCGTGCACAACGAATTTCAAATTTTTGATATGATGATGTGTGAAGTTTCAAAATTAACTTACTTGGCGAATTTCCAAATGCATTTTATCTGAGAGGTTCTTGCCACACAATTTATTGGTTTTTCCTTATGATAAAAACTAAAAGCGGAACTGAAAAAAATCAATAACTTTCACATTAGGATGAAACGCTAGCCACACAATTTTATACAACAAGAAAATGCTAGTCCTAAGTCATTACCAAGCCAAACTGTGCACTGGATAGGCACAAAACGCTAGCCACATAATTTTATACAACAAGAAAATGCTAGTCCTAAGTCATTACCAAGCCAAACTGTGCACAAATTTTAAATGTGTGTAAGTCTGTGGAATCCAGAGAAGTCTTTAAAAAAGTGAAAACTTTGTCGGAGCGATCGAAGAAACCGAAAACAAAAGAACAACAAAGAGAGCGTTCTTGATGAGGAATCTGTTAAAATATCAGAATACCCAGGTTGGCCTCGTGTGAAATTTAATGACGAGCTTTTTTTTGAACCCGGGGTGTTTACCCCGAGAGACAAATTCTTTCGAAAATTTGTCTGAATAAAAAACCACACCGAGCATAAATGTTCTTTACTTTCTTCGAAAGTCGTTACAAAGTTCTATTTCAATTCCTTACAACCCAAAATGCAAAAATGTAGTACATCAAACAATTTTCGGTTCGTCACAGCAGTTTTGTGAAACTGCCTATTACGAGCTTAAAACCGATTGAGCAAGTCCGTTTGCCTGCTGAGGTATGAGCAAAAATGGTATAGAGCAGAATTAACATGTTCGGCCTATTTAAATACATCTATGCTCGCCCAATTGATTGATTTTTTTAATTGATTTTGGTACTAAGGAACATTCGGAACAAATAGGACTTTACTTTTATTTTGGCTTTGGTTTGCTTAAAAAAGAATAATTAAGCATAAAAATAAAAATTTGGTTGCAAGCGACACGTTTTCCAGAAAAAATTCGTGTGAGTTTATTGCACTCTGCAAATTTTGAGGAGAGCTTTTGAAAAACTGCTGAGATATATATTTTTGAAAGTATTAAAAACTGATGATTTGCTTCTGGCGATGAGTTATTTGGAAATTTGGACAAATCATTTCAGACTTTCTTTATCAAATTGTCAATTTTTTAACACCACTAATTAGTAAACTGTTTCATTATTCTCGAAAGACTGGAATACTACAAAAATCGTGTTAAGATAAAAATGGAAAAAAATTGTGCGTGATTCAGTGCACTGAAAAAATATCATGGAAAGTCGAGCACCACAATCCGGAGAGCAGCAAAATGAAATGAAGCTCCACATGTTTCAACCGCATTATTTAACCTTGACTTGTATAGTTTAAAACACAAATGGTTTAGTCGGCATCTAGTAAAAATCCATTGAAACTTTAACCAACGTACAATTGTAGCAAAAAGAGAAAATAGGTGAATAAAATAAACTCCTCTTGTTCTGATTTCAAATAGAAACAGAAACATGAATTATTTTATTGCGTTAACAAAATGTGACGCCGCCGCCACCACCAAAAGAAATATGTTTTTATTCCCTTGCAAAAGGAAGGGAAATGCTATTGGAATAATTCGTATAACGTTTTAAGCATTGAGAATTGAAACGACTATTCTCATTCAATACGAATATTAACGATTCCTCTCGTAAAATACGAGCATACGAAACCTTCTTCTCGTAAAATACGAATGTACGAATAAAGAATACGAAGTTAAAAGAAACTTCTCATTTGATACGAAAAGTGGCGTGATTTCCCAATCTGAGTATAAATAGAAGCTCAAAACTACGGGAATTCATTCCAACAATATCTCTTCTAACACCAACACCACTCTCTTCTACCACCCCAACCAATCTCTAAAAAATATCTCTAATCTCACCGTTAAAATAGATATTGAGTCAAAAGGCAACTTGCTGTAAATTCATACTAACTTCTTTTTTTAATAAAATAGTTCTCAGCGAATTTTAGATTTACTTTCTAAGATAGAAAGTAGAAAGGACCCTTTATTCCTAGCAAGCGTTTTGTCCGACGTCTATAGTATTGCTAGCGTAATAAATTGGTGCGACCAGTGAGGCTCACCTTCTAAAAATTCGCAAAAATTGCTAAAGTCTCAAAAAGAGATAAAAAGCAAAAATTCCAATTCTCAAACTGGAGAATTGTTGAAATTTCTCTTACAAATAAAGAGAAGTAATAAATTTCCAAATCGGAAATTTAAGTTTTCTAAACAAATTTATAAACCTTTCTATCTTTCTTTTTTAAGTTCTAAACTAAATATAAAATGGCTGATACCCCAATATCCCATCCCAACTTGTCTTTAATGACATTTTCGGGAAACGATCCGAACCAAAATGCTACAGCATTTTGGAATTCAGTTGAAAACAAAATTCTTTTCTCACTAGGTCAAAGACCTGCTGATAATGATGCACGACGCAGCTATGATAGCAGACAACGATCCCTATTCGGATCATTGTTAACTGATACATCTCTTGAATGGTTCAATGATAATGTAACCAATGCTACCACATGGGCACAACTCAAAGATCTCTTCCTAAACAGATTCACTGACGGACGAGATCAATTCAAACATAGAATTGATGCTGAAAATGCAGCTCGCCAAGATGGCGAATTAATAAAAAATTACTTCCACAGAATTAAATCTTCTGTAGATAGAGGATGGCCCGAAAGTATTGATGAAGCCGTTCATGCTACTGAAGCTGCTCAAAATGCTGAGAGAACTATACAAAACAGACAAAGAAGTCAAAAGTATATTGATTTCTCAATTAAGGGACTAAGACCTCTAGCCCTTAAACAAAAAGCTCATGAATACATGATAGAGTATCCAAATGCCAACTGGGATCAATTCACAAATCATGTAATCACTAAGGATCTAACATTCATTGTTGCTACTGATCCTGCTAATAAGTCAACAACGGATAAAATGACTTCATTAGAAACTCAAATTAAAGAACTAACAAAATTGATCAAGAATCAAGAAGTTAGTGCAATCAATGATCAGAATTCATTTCAACGACGTCACCCTGACATCAAGGGAAGACCTAATAGTACACGATTCTGCGAATATTGCAGAATTAATGGACATTCTATATCTAGATGTTCCAAAAAGCAAGTTCAGGACGAAGTAAATAAGTTGCGAAAAGAACTCACAACAAAAAATGAACGAAGAGTTTCATTTGAAACTGATTATAAACGAAATCGAAGACCGAATAACTTCCCTAACCAGAGTAACTCTAACCCAAGCAACCGGTTTTGGGATAACCAAAACAGATCTACTAACAATTCAAATCCTAGCCAAAATAACTATGGCATTCGCCATAATTATAACTATAACGGAAACAATTTCCAAAAGGCTAATGCACAATCGTCTTTCAATAACAAAAGACCCCAAACCTATGATGATAGGTATCCCAGAGAAAACAAATTCAGAGAAAATGAACAAGTTGCTAAACAGTTCTACGACCAAGAAAATAGGCAATTCAATAGTAACCCTAGAGGTCGACCATATAACACTGGAAGCTATAATAGGAATAACAGTCGAGACTCAACGCGATCTCAATCACCAAATTTTAGATCGAATCAAATACAGTCTGAAACTACCCACTGGGTTGAGGAAGAAGTCAATTACTGTGATGCTATCACTGATTTCTTTCCTTTAAACTATTAAAGTCTCCGAAACCAAGCGATGATAGTAATCCTAAATCAAGGATATACCTTAGCTTATATCATTTTGCCACCGGAGACAAAAATAATAATAGTGGACTTGAAATTGAATTCATGATTGATCCAGGATCAACTTGTAGTATCATAAACTACCCAACTTATCAAGAATTGGAAAAATTAGGTCAAAAAATGACAATTTACCGATCCAAAATTAAAGCAAAGACTTATAATGGATCTGATATACGTATGTTTGGCCATACATCTATTCAATCTTGTTTCGACACTGATGGAAAATATCCATCTAACCACAAAGTGTGGATAACTGAAGAGAAGACTGCTAATCTGTTAGGAGTAGACTTTTGTCATCTCTTCTTAAAAGCTCTCTACTTTGATATCCCCGCAGTTGAGCTCAAATCAAAAGAAGGTGTAATATCATACGGGTTGATGAACAACGATAAAGAATATCCTAACGTTTCAAAGATTGTCTCAATTAACTTGAAAGAACCCTTGTTCATTCCAGCACGCTCTACATACTTATACAAACACTTGGCTGAACCAAATTCATACTTCGAAAAAGGGACTACATTCCTGCCTCATAAAAATACAACTAAAACCGAATTGGTTTTCATTAATACAGTTTGTACTCAAATTGAGCAAAGCCTACCTATCCTAATTGAAAATCAGAAAGATCATCCTGTCACACTAAACAAGTGTGTACTAGGCTATGCAGTAACTGATATTCAAGGAAACGAGGATAAAATATTTGCTATCCACGATTGTGATGAGTTCACAACGAGAATTTTAAACGAAAGTTCAGAATTCGATAGCTGTTTCATGCTGAACACTGTTGTCAATACAACACAGGAAAGCAATACTCAATTATCCGGCCCCTGTCTACAATATGTAGACTTCAAAAAAAGGTCCATATTCGAATCGAATATGCCCATTGCCCATACAATCTCTGCAGATAGAGCAATGAAAAAAGGGTTTGCTGAATCAATTAGCAAAAGGTATCCTGAGCTACGACACTTTTGTAACTCAATACATGCTAACATTAACGATATTCTCATCTTCACTGATCCAAAATCTGGACAAGTCATATATAACCTGATTACCAAACAGAGGTACTTTCAGAAACCCACTTACGACGCTATATTCAACACCTTGTCTGAAATGAAAGATCATGCTATAGCAAATAACATTCGATCTATCGCAATGCCCAAAATTGCTTGTGGCTTAGATAAAATGAATTGGGAAGAAGTTTCCAAAATCATTCTCGATGTATTCCAACATTCTGGAATTACTATATTTGTCTATGTTTCAGGACAAGAAATCAAGGACATGCCTGCCCTTGAAGTGTTTGATACAGAAAACGTATCAGAAATATTTGAACAAATTGGTTCAGATATAGTCAAAGTATGCAAAAA